CAGCCATATATAGCGCTCTTTGCTGGACTCCGAGAAGTTCTTCACCATCCTCACCTGTACCATAGCAGAACTTGGACATCCACCACTGATACCACTATTCTTGAGCATTATCTGGATATTGTACCTCTGTATCACTACTGAAACAAGCACATTGTAACAACTTAAAGTCTTCTATCACATGTTATTGCCCTTCTTCTAATAGACTATAAAGCTGCTTCTACAGCCTTAAAACAGACTGGTTTACAACTAGTGTATGGTTGTCTATGATAGATATTATTACATAAGAAGTATACAAGATGTGTGACTGATAAAACACCAATTGCTCAAATTGAGGCCTGAGTATACTGAAGTCAACATGTAAAGTCCAAGTTGTGGCCCAAGTACCCCAAGTACCCCAAGTATATAGACTTGGGTCAAGTCCGTGTACTTGGGACCAAGTACATGGACTTGGGGCCAAGTACACAGACTTGGGGCCAAGTACATGGACTTGAGTCCAAGTACATGGACTTGAGGCCAAGTACATGGACTTGGGCCCAAGTATGGGTCCAAGTCCGTGACGTTTTCCTGATGTACGGAAATTTACTTGACACTACCTGTCTCTAGGTGGCAAAGTTGTCTCCTTTCTGCGAGCTATACTTGCATTTCCGACTTTATGGCTGTTCCACTGCCCCTTCTGGCCTTGGTAATCTAAACACTCAATTCGTGAGTTTCTTGTCAACTGACATGATGGCTGATAGAGTCCAGTCTTGCCTGACACCAAGCAGCTCTCGGTGCACGTTTCCTCCGGGAGGCAGAACCTGAGCAATGAGATGATTGGAGATACAATTCTTAAGCTGCACGCTGTCGGCTATACAATACCTTGAGCCCCACAACCTCTAAGTAGATGAAGGCGATTCCTCCGGATGCAATGCCCTCGCGTCCTCCGTCGCTCTCATAATATCCTTCGCTTACTGGCCACTATGTCGGGCAATTTGTCAATGTCAGGCTACGCAGAGGAGATGATCCAAGCTTACTCACGCCTGTTCATACTCTCCCCTTTGCTCTCTCCATAGCATGAACTAATGCCAGTGTCTATCTCAATATCACAGGCTCGCCGAAAACTACTGCATCGTTGCCTCAGGCAGTAAGTAACACACCAACTATCAGTGTCACGGACGTTGGACAGACGCCCCTTTTTGCCGCCCATTCCCTTCCCTTTGACGCCCACCTTCCATTTCCGGACCGTTCCTTTCCTAGCTCATCCCAGTTTGGACACTGTAGATACGTTCCCACAGCCGCATGCTACGTTCCCGTGATCGCCATGCCCTTGCCTTTCTTTCTCGCCCTTTGTCCCCCTTTGTCATCTTCACTGCCTCGCTCTCGCGCCTTGTCCTTGGTTGCTAAGCAGCCCCTCTAGTATATAAGGACCCCCCTAGGCGCTCCCTAGTCCCCATCTCGACCTCTTGGTCATTGGGACTAGGTGAGTGACCATAGT